GAACCTCCAATTTAAATCCCTATCCGAGAAGACTTGGTTCTACCAACTGAACCCTGGGTGAAGAGTGGCTGGAACCAGCGCCCATGTTAAGATTGTAGTTAGCGGTGCTCTTGACGTACTGCTCAGTCACTCGATTCGCTAATAAAGTGACCAAGAACAGTGCAATGAAGCTTTGTGTTGGTTGAATATAGAGGCTTGGTTATAGAATATAGAGCATCCAACAGGAATGACTACTGACTTTATGATCTTGATTTTGGAAACCATTCACAATACATACTAACCCCTTCAGAAGAACTACTGCATTGTGGGGAGGTTTATCCATCATAGCTAAGCTAAGCATGATCCACTTGCAAAGTGCCATCAACAGGTGACTATGCATCTCCATGATAGTCTCCTCACCAGCAGTTTTCTCTTCTCCTTGCCTGATGCTCTTTATGTAAATCTTGAAAAAAAAAAAACAGAAACAAGCGACTGTAATTAAGTGCTTACAGGTCAAGAGGCTATTTGATTTTATCCTTTGAATATATCATGTACACAAAGACTTGGTATCTTTGGTTAACGTTGGAAATAAATTTCAATGATGAGTGACGAAATGGTGTAAATAACCGATGTCATGCGATACGAAATCCACCAATCAAGTGACAGGGATCTATTACGAAATCAACCAATCAAGTGACAGTGATCTATTTAGGTGTTATAATGATCACTGGCTTAGAATGCGCTGGCCTAATCAACATGGACATCAAGGGTCTCCAATTTGTCAGCTCTCCAATCCATTAAGCTCAGTCCAGACTATCAAATTACATTTGACAAAAATATGAAACATGCCTAAATATGGTCATGATCACATCACATCATGACCATATATAGGCACATCATGACTAAATATGGGCATACAACAGTGATGTCTGGTAGGAACTCACCTCCAGGGTGTGTACTGTGCTCTCCCACCAGATTGGCTGGTCTGCAACAGACTCCAGGTCTTGCGTAAGCAAAATGTGGTCGACTGCTTCTCGTAGTCTTTTCATCTCTATTAGCAGCTTCACTAGCTTACAGTTGAGGTAGTAGTCACCCTTCCTTTGCGCCTACAGAGACAGGAGGGG